TGGATCAACTACGAACCACAGCCAGGGTCTTCGCGGCTATATCCTAATGGGCATGAGAGAGCGCATCAACGACCGGGACTCACCTCTGTTGGGAGCGCTCCACGTATGATACTGTGGAATTGCAGGTAAAAATAGAACTCAAGAGCCAATGCTAACTCACAAAGGGAAACTCGCGTAGCCAACCCAAGTCATTTTCGAGTACCAAAGTCTTTGGGATGAGTGCACTGACCGAAATCGTAATCGTCGTCAACGCATGGGAGTCCGGGATGGAAGACGCACCTGTAAACCCAAAGTCCTGAAAAATCCTCGCACTCGGAGGAGACTCCCTCTTCCTCCATCAAAGTGCGTCGCACGACGCCTCGCGCACCGTCTGCACCGAGAATGCCGTCCGCTGTATGCACCTCTCCGGAGCGCAGAGTCACTGAAGGCGTCTCGCAGTCGATTTTGACGACCTCCGCTCCGAACATGACAGATACCAAGGAAGAGGAATCATCTTCTGAAGGTTTGATGGCAAGCTCGTAAAGCATGCGTATGAGATCCCGATGCTGGGGGAGAAGATGAGTAGGAGGGTAGTCGGAGATGACAAGACTTACCGTGAGTTGCCAATACCCGCCCCGCGCCTCTGCCAAGATTTCCGGATCCCAGCAGTTGAGACCTACTGCGAATCAAACCAAGCGCTGAAGCTTGCAAGTGACTGACCGAGAAATTTATCCTGATCGTCTAGAGAAAGGTTCAACCAGTTTCTATCATGCCGGAATAGCCCAGACCCACATCGGTGTAATCCCACGCCTGCCGCGGGACTGGAATTGGCGTGAAGCTCAGCGTCCAACCCCCAATCGTTGAGTATCTTGCAAGCATTCGGAGGTACCCTGGAAGCATATTAGCCATCGAAAAAAAAGGAGAGAATGAACTCACATGGCACATCCAGAGCCATTCAGCTCCTCATTGACGCGGTTCAGCTCACACGTCGACGAGACTAGCGCAGAGACTGCACCGACCCCCGCCCACCGGGGTGTATATCTTCTCTAATACCACTACACGATGCCCGGATGCCTTGAGTTCGATGGCTGACGCCAGACCTAAGCAGATTTTAGCTGCAAAAATCACCGTCATCGTTGGCACGAGAGGCTCACCTGATGCAGAGGCGCCCACGATGATCTATGTTTGAGTCAGTGTGTATGTGTCGACCAGAATTAGAGCTCACAAAATTGAGGCTAGGTGTCGAACTCATTTGCAGTGGTGAGAGGGAGAGAATAGAAAAAAATGTGCGGCGATCTCAGGGATTAGACATCGCGACTACCCTGTGTGGGCGACGGTGTCGGCGTATGGAGGAGTCCTTTAGCCGACTTGGCCGTGGTGAACGGGGTCGACCCTTAGGCGAACCCACCGAATTCCGCCATGGAAGATGGGAAAACCTGAGAAGGTCTGTGGGTTCCGTTATGCCGGGTACACGCCGCGGACGGCGTTTACAAGCTGAGACCAGAAATTAATCCGGATGGAAATCATGGTTCTGTGAGATCCCTTAGTGGAGAACCGACCGTGGATTCTATGAGTATAATTTCCTGCCATGTTCGTTGATCGGCACTGCGTCGACCAGTCCCCCCTCGCTCGATATGATATATCAAGGTCTGTGCGCCATACGTTCGGACAGACAAGAGAATGTGATCGCAGCCGTCGGCTGGATGGGTGTGGGCGACTCGGAGCCGAAACGCCCACTGAGCGCTGATTTAAGGAAGAGCCCGTGAGATCCAGAGATGATCATGGACGGAAGCAAAAGTGATTTAGAACTCCGTGATGGCTGATCAAACTGATTCTTCGCTCATATTCTTAAGCAACCAAAGCCTGCCCAATGACCCCACCAAGCAAATGCGTCTTGAAAACAGGATTATACCCATTCAAATGCGAGTCCTCAAAAATGTTGAGGGAATCGCGATGGATGCATATTGTTGACGGCCATGTTGATGTTGTCCTCGGCGGGAGACACGCGGGGCGTGAATACGAGGGCCTGACGTGCGCGGGCCGACCACCAGTGAAAATGGTGGTCTCCTCCTGCACGGTCCATTCGGGAAGCCTTTTGTGTGGATACGCGTGGCGCTACCGGTGTAGTAGCCAGGGAAGATGCCCGAAATGTGTTGGTAATGCTTGTATGTGAAGGAGGAAAGATTCAAGATGCACTGGTGAACTACGTGACACCGGTCCACGCGCGGCGGGGAAAGTCTCCTGCGGCTTTCTGCGAGGGAACGCAGACAATAAACCGTTGCGCTTCCCACCCACTTGCGGATCTCGACGATTCAATCAAGGAACTGAAAGATAATTCAAGGACGTACCGGCATAATGTCCCGTTGCGTTTGCCAGCCAAATGTCCACCAAGACGTGAGGCACCGGTTTGCACGTCTCGACGTCGATGACGCCAATGTCCCGTAGCTTCGAGGTTGAGAAGCATATAAAACGAAGGATAAACAATGCACCAGCAGCAAACCGTCCTGGTACTCTGCAATGTTTTGGCGCGTTGGATCAGGAACAGAACGTCGGCGCGTAGAGAAATAAGACTCACTCAAAACGCAGGTATTGTTCTCAATCTGCAACGGCGTGCAGCTAAGGAATCCGGCATCGGTGCTCCCCGCATCGATTTCCAGGGCTTCTTGCCGCTTGCGCAAAGACTCATAGTCGGTGACCGCGGGGATGCCGTTCTGCCCCAAAGCATTTTGAGCAAAGGCGCGTTTTCGGGCGGCTGCACACTATACCCTCATTAATGGAGAATGGGAACCCGAGCATACGCACATGATACGCTGCATTGAATTCCAGGGGGTTGCGTTCGGCACCTGCTTTTCTTCGAGTGTCGTGGATTTCTTGTGTGCTGCAGCGCCCAGAAGCAGGGCAAAAGAGAGAGAGAAAAGGGGCCACAGGTCGTGCAGAAATGCGGGGAGAGCAGCATGAGCATTTATACGTCTGCTGGACCCTGGTGAGGCGGAGACTGGATCATCCGTACGGAACGGCTGGGAGGCTTCTTTCGATGTTGCCTGGAGGATGGAATCGACCTAGAGCTGCCACTGGGTTTCAAATGGAAAAAAAAAAGATATTAATATTGTCAGTGCTGTTTCGAGGCGACGACGTGACTGATCGGGCGCCTGAGAGGAGAAGAATGGCATGCGCTACAAAAAGTTCAACAACGAAGCGGAAGGCGGGATGCCGAGCATTGTGGTGTTGAGCAAGAGTCGAAAGTTGGGCTTGTTTGTCACAGTCACTCTGTCGGGCCTCGGCTATCCAAATCCGGCTTGTTTCCGTCCACCACTGCAGAATCGACGGTATTCACGAAAGCCACAAAACCGCCGTGCCGCCGCCCAATTTTACGACTCTCCGCCATTCTGCTTCGGTTTTCTGCCGTCCTGAATCGCAGGGAGCGTACTTTCAGACCCGGCTTCCCTGACATTTTACGACATTCACGCGTGCTGCGTGCACTGTGCCAGAAAAAGGGGGCGGCCGTCAATTTTTAATTTTCGTGCTTGCTGTACTTACTTGAAGCCTTCAGCTTGGTGCCCTCTCCACTCTCCACCCTCCACCCTCCAATGGCCGACGCCAAAGCTAAAGCTACAGACCCATCCCACCACCCCCGCTCCTTCAAATACTTTCGCCTCCTCGCTGTAGCGAAAGCCATGCGCTTTCTCATCCGAAGGACCGTCCCGCTGCCCGTGCACGACAATCCCAACGTCATCCGCACTGATGGAGTCGTGCCTTCCAGGGACCAGGGCCGCGACATCCGAGTGCGTTGGTATCGACCGGTTGGGACCGACACTGAGAAGTCGCTACCTGTCCTCATCCATTTTCATGGCTCTGGATTCGTCATGTATGTGTATATTTCCTGCTGAGGAGCGACATTTCTCATCCAATCCAAACTAGTCCACTCTTCGGGCAGGATGACGAGTGGTGTTTGATGGTAGCCGAACGTGGCTGGCTCGTCGTCGACGCCGACTACCGCAAGGCGCCCGAACACCCCTTCCCTCTTCCTTGTCAAGACGTCGAGGACGTCGCCCGGCACATTATTGCCTCTGTTCCGCACACTACGATTTCGCTCAGTGGCTTCAGCGCCGGTGGATGTCTCGCCCTGGGACTCGGCGTGACCCTAGGCCCTCAAGTTGTCCGCTCGGTGGTGACATTCTACCCATCTACAGACGCCAAATTGGACACAAGCAGTGAACCGCCGACCAAGCGCAGAGTAAGCGGGACCGCTCTCCCGCGATTCCTCATCCGCCACTCCGCCGCATCGTACATCCTCCCCGGGACATCTGTCAGCCTCACAAACCCACTCCTATCTCCCGCCCAAGCCCCCGTCGACGCTCTACCACGTCATATATGGACTTGTACAGGCACCGCGGACCCGTTGTACGTCGGCGCTGAGACGTTCATGAAGCGGTTGCAAAGTGAAGGGCATCCGGACGCTGTGTTCAAGTCCGTTGAAGGAGCGGGACATGGGTTTGTTCAGATTGCTTCGCCGGTGAAGCCGGATCCGAGGGCGGGGGAGGTGTATGAGGAGGCTGTCGCTTTTTTACTCAACTCTATCAAGGATGATATGGTGAGTACTCAGTTGGCCTTGAGGGATTTAGCACTCATGTTTTGACTAGGGATCTGATATGTGAACTGTCATACATATTCGGTAATTCAATGGGCAAAGTCCTTCGACTCTCAAGTAGAATGGTAAGTACGTAGACTCACTGCCTTCTGGCCGTTACGCCTTGAATAACTCTGAGACTGGACGTCTCCAAATATTGAGGTAGCTGCTTTGCGCTCGCGTTCTAACAAGCCTTCAACATCCTCCAAGATTCCTGACATTTCCCGCCCGTCCTGGCCAAGTATGTCGCTTTTTATTGAAATCAAATTCCGCTCAGACACTGTGGAACCACCGGTCCGTGCATGCTCAGTACTTTCGCGGGAGAGCAGCAGAAAGTTGATTTAATATTCCCGTGACCTCACCCTATATCTGTCTCATTCGGTTTTCCCCTAATTCTTGACTAGTATATCGGTTCAGTACACCCGCTTGTCATCAATATCCACCATGGTTTCGCGGGAGAGCAGGGTTCGACTCCCTGGTCGAGAGTTCCTTTTTCTACCTATCTGCTTTTTTCCTGGCTTGACACACACCTCACCCTGTTCGCAACAAACCTTGCTCAGAACCATTCAAATTACTCAACGCCAGCTACAATTGTATAATACTTGTTACAATACCTACCTGTATGGAATAGGCAACCAAAAGGAAGCGAAGAAAAAGAGATAGATAGATCCACGAATAATGATCGAGTCCTGCGTATGGGATACGCTTTTTTGTACAGTACTGCGTTTGGGTCGTCTAGTGTCGTGTCGAGGGTATCGAGTGGGTAGATCGGTGTACTTTATGTACAGCCGGCGGCGTGTGAAGAAGGCAGTGGCAACGGATCGTCCGCGTCAACAGCGACCCTCCTGCTGCTGCTGGTCCGAAAGAGCCGGAGGCCCCGAAGGCATTGTCCACGCACGACCACGCCAGCCAACGACGGCCGTCCCCGCGCGTATGAGGTCGGCCAGCCTCGGGTGCTTGCGGGCCTCGGCGAGGAAGAGGGAGGTGCCGAGGACGGGCCGTCGGTGGTGGCCTTGGGGCTCATCGCCGAGGGAGATGCGTGTGAGTGCGGGGTTGGCTGCGATCGTAGGCAGTGCGGGACCCCAGAAGGTCGGTACTGGTGTAAGCAGGGAGGTGAGGCGGGGTGCGCTGGCGAGGGCTGCTACGAGGGGTACGAGGGCAGGGTCGGAGGAGAGGGGGAAGGAGGTGCTGGCGGAGGTCTTGGGACTCGTCAATTAGTTGGGAAAGGTGAGAGTGCAAGACAAAGTGGACGCACGAGGGCAGGTGATGCAGCTACTGCTTCTGATATGGCTCCGAGAACCACGCGAGCGTGCGGCGTCGAGAGGTAGGTCCCCGACGACTTTCGGATAGAGATGGAATGCAGGCCACGAAGCTGCCGGAGAGCTTCGGGCAGGCCGTCTGGTGTTGACGACGGGAGGGTGATGTCAAGGGCACGGAGACCACATCGGAGTAGTGCAAGGACTTGTGCGTCTGCTGAGCTCGGTGCGGGTAGAACCAGAGTGCGGACAGCGCGTGCGAGGTGGGGCTGGGCACGGAGGGCTCTCAGACAATTGGCAGACTGGGAGGGGGTATGGAGGACGAGGGTGTCGTAGAAGAGCGGGAGGCCTATGCGATGGAAGGCTCGGCAGACGAGGAGCGGGGCAAGTCGGGTGCGAGTAGGCGTCGTGTGGGCACCATGCGAATGGTGGTCGCGATGCCACGGGGTCCGGGCATGTGGGTACGAAGGGCCGACGACGGCGTCGAAGAGGATGCTTTCCAGCAGCTCTTCCGGGAAGGACGCCACAGCGAGGGACATGGGGTCGTGGTCGGGAGAGGGGAAAATCCAGGCCCTGTTAAATGGGGAGTGTCTGAGACGTAAAAGTGATGTTATTCCCGAAAAGGAAGGAGGGACCCACAATTTTGGCATTGACAAGCTCACTTCCAACAACCATGTCCTCGGCATGCGCAAACCATAATCTTCATTTAGCCTACCGCCCGGCACGCTCCATTTTCTAATGGCAAGTCCCGCCGTGTCTGGTTCGCTCTGGAGGCTCTCACTTGTAATTCTCCCCTGTGCGCGGGAGAAGAACAGATGGGGATCGCCGCAATGTTGACAGCTGCATGCATGCACTAGTCTCTTTCTACTCGGAGCGACTCCCGCCAGCGATCCCCGCAAGCCTTCCTCGTGTCTTTCATGTGTACCTCGAGTGGAATCGTCCGTCCTAGCACCATGGCCCTCGCAACACTCGTAATACCACATCTGTCTGGCAACCACGTCGACTGTGCTTCTGCTTCTTCGTGCGAAGACGGATACCAAGGTTTCAGGATCTAAATCATCTGCGCTGCCGTGTTGTCTCGACTGCCACTGTGCTGTTCGCCGTCGGGCCAGATGGATACCTGGCTTATACTTACTAGCACTACAACAGGCAGTGCGCGCGATATGATGCTGTTGTCGGCCTCAAATTCAACGCTTCCATCCGCTGCGCCTTCTTATCAAGTAATCTTAGTCTCTCTGCCTCAATCCCTTTTGTCCTTGAAATTCAACCTGCAAATCAACACAAATCGAGCCATTTCCCCTTTCTCTAATCTTCACAGTGACGGTCGCCGAAATTCCATTCGGAAATGCCGATCATCACCGTTACCCCGTACTTCGCATCCCGCGTTCGCCGAATTCACCGAACATTGCACAGGTAAATCATATGATTCCGTTGAAACCTGCCCCATTCTAGATCTGCTATTCGCGTTGAGTTGAATGATGGCATTGGCACTCAAGTCAAGGCCGTAAATGCACCTCTGTCTTCTGGCTGTGAAATGGAATCCCGATTCCGGCGTATTTGACTCATCCTTGCAATTATAATGGGGACCTTACTTCGTACAGGGGACATTAATCTACATACTTACTCGGGAGTTGCCTCGCAAATTGACGTCCCGAACCTGGCGGGTCCCCGACGGCGGCGGGTTCCAACTCGAAGTGGTGAGCTGTGGTAAGTAAATAGACTATACATAGCTATAAACTAAAGTGGGTGCTTACGGTGTCTGGTAATTATCTGTCGCGCAAGGTATAGGTGTACGGGAGGCGTAAGTAGGCTGTCCTACTGTACTCCACTTCACCAACAGAGCTTACCGACTCGGAGCGCCACCGGGATCCCGCACTCGTCGGCGCGGAGAGCTCGAATGTGCCTGTCGGTTCGGTTCGGGTTCGGGGCCGGTTTGGATGGGCCGAGTAAGTATGTGTAGCTGTACCAAGGAGATATGTTCAATTGCGTGCGTTCATGCGTTTCATTTATTTTCAACCAAAGCAGCATCAGGCCCGCATTTGCCGACACAGATGCATATGGACGGCAGGCCGTAGCATTGACGTGTCGAATGGTCTCTTACTCATTTTGGATTGTAACGACTCCGTGGAGAAATTGGTCTCCCATGGGCCATGGCTTGAATACAGACTCCGGTACTTAAGACAGCAATTAATTACCTAAGCCATTTTTTTTTGAACCATTCACGTGATGTGTTCAATTTCGCGGGCCGTTCAGATTAATATTTTGGCCGACGGGCCCGGCGCCGCTACCAACGTTGTTTGAAACTCATGCGGACAAGATTCAGAGGATCCATACACTAGAAGGACGGAGCACCGGATCGAGCTCGGAATACTTACTGATATCGGCCCCGGGTTAACTATAGTACTAGTCTAACGCTTCAAGTCTCGGGGGCCGGGGAATGATTGGGCTACTGCATTTAGCGGGCCAAGAAATTTATGGTCGCCGTTCAATTCACCGGGCAGGAGCCAGGCGTAGTATACCAGTTAGATCGATATCCGGACATCAAATTGTCCCAGTTAGTTCAAAAGGAAAGAGTCTGAGGCTTATTTCGTTAGTATGGGTCCAGATTGCAGATTCAACTTGTGCACTATTAGTAATAGAGCGTACCGAGGCAGTTCTGCCCACTGGCGTTGTTCTCAGCGCTCAGCTTCCCGACTTCCAAGTCTGATCATGATCGGTGGGGGCTACGTATTGGGGTGGAATTCAAGCTGAGGAAGACGAAGGTGCGTAGCTTCAGGGGCTCCGACTCGGGACTAGCCAACGAGAGTCGCCCAGTGAAACGGTTGGTGGATGCTGAACTTTTTCGAGTTGGCCGTGGCTTGGCAGTTCGATCATCTCTCGTTCATCTACTGGTAAATGTAACACAAGAGTGGATTTCTCGTGTCCATGACCTCCCTGATAGTCACCGTCGGCGCAAGCATCATCATATCCAGCTCGAAATCCATCGTCACGTTCACATACGGCAATTGAGCCATCGTCCTCCCAGAAATATCGTCAATCCTAGCAGTGAAATTTATGCCTACCCATTCCCACCAGAGTTTGTCCAGGAACGCGTGGTGGAGATAGAATAGGGGGTCTAGGAATTCGAAAGGTAAGTAAATTGTAATCCAAATACGAATTCGGAACGACCAACCCCCAGGACTCGAAAAATTATCAGCCATTTCGCCCCCGACGATGTTATGCCCGCCATCGTGGAGACGCATGGTCTCCGTCACAGGCGCGCCTTCCAACTGAACCCGGAACGTCTCAAACGTAGGCTGCTGCATCACCTCCCCGACCTTTTCCCCGCTCAGGAACCCCCTGAGCTCGTCGTTTATGGCACGCTGTAGGCAGTGGCTCGTCACATTCGTTCCTGGACCCACGTTCAACTGGTACGAGGCAAATGGTCCGTCGGGCACACAGCCACCCCCAGAATCAGGTGGAACCCACCCCGCGCTGGACAGGAGGGTGAGGTTCCCGAATTGACCGGCGTAGTTGGGGACGTCTACTCCGTTCCCACCGAATCCGTACACCGCATCGAAGACGGGGGATTCAGAAAGTCTATTAGTGCTATATTAGCAAAGTCGAGGGAATTCTTGAGAACGTACGGCAGCCCACTGTCGACATCGCGACTCCAATCCCAATACCTGAAATGCCGTGAGTAGCAGTCTACTGGCAGATAATCAATGTACGAACGGAATGGAACCCTGGTACCCGCACTCCTGCCGCAGCGCCATTTCGAACACGTTCAAGATTCGGCGGTGCCAAGGAAGAAATTGGCCCTAGAAACCGTAAACATGGACCCATAGTGGGAGATTTGAAACTCACGAGTAGATGGACCTTTTGAGACATTAGTACATGCAACGCTTGAAAGTCGTCGAATCGCGTTTTAGCGCCCTGATGTCCGTTTGATTTTCCAGGAAGGCGTTGAAGGCATTGAACCGCCGTAATGAATTCCGACTTTTGCTCATTGCTCAAATCGCGCCTGGATTAAAAAGGTATGAGCAACGAACGAGTGACAGGTTGCTAAACGCACCATTCCTGCCTCAGGCCCGGATTCGCACAGAGGGACGGTGAATCGAGGGGAACGACGCCGATTGCACTGGGTGTGGGACTTGAAGGAAGTTCATAGCGACCCAGCTGGTGGACGGCAGCGAATGCAACGACGGCGAGGAGCGCGAGGAGAGCACTGAGCACTACGAGGAGAGCGCT